AGCATTTGCCATATATGACACGTTTGGCAGTTAGTATGGTAACCGTGGTACCAGAAGTCTCACAATTTACGCTGCACGTCGTTGCCAGTCTTGATTTTTTATGGTATTAGGGCATTTTCTAACACCATAAAAATATCTCGCTATATCAGCGGTTAGCCCCAGAGCCTTGGTAGATTAGGGACTAAGCGCTTGCTGTAAAATTTCACAGTACGCGAGCAACCCGAGTTCGATCGCCGCCGGCACCAATGAAATTGTTAATTGCAATTTTAAGTGCTGATTTACCAATTGCTCGGCGGTGAAGGAAAACGTCGTGAGACCTGCATGTCTGAAAAATAAGAAAAAATATATTTCGAAGACCTGTGAATTTCGTCAACACGCATTAGGGCAGCGCGGCGGACACTTCCTTGCCTTGAAACCCTTTCAGGAATGCGAGGAGGCCTGTGCCAGCAGTAGGAGGTATGTAGGCTGTAACTTTAAAGTATTTTCTACAACCGCCTCTTACAAAACTCATGGGACGAAATTGGGTGATATAATGAAATGGATCTCTTATGAGACGAGCGACAATAGAATAATTAAATAGTGAAGGCTGAATAACAAGAAGGTTCTCCATAATACTGTTGGGTTTCGTAGAGTGAGTGACGAGATCCAGACACTCTTTTTACTAGTAACAAGGCATTCCATTGTTTCTCAGGAGTGACAAGGCGTATTTGGTGTATTTGGACCATGTTCTCCTCCAGAACGAGGTAGCTTTAAGTCACGGCGGCCAGTGTCAATGGAGACTAGATATCTGCGCCGGACAGGATTACAGTGCCAGAGTGTACGCGAACACAAATGCACTCTATTCTCTCTATTCCCTCACTCTCATAGTTCGATGTGATGGTTATCCGACGCGACCGTAGGGAGATCAGGCAGGACCATCGGTTGTACGTGATTTCCGAGGCATGGGGGCGAAAAATCGCCAACTTACTGACTCCGTGCTGCTACTGAGAATTTCTTGACAGGAAAACCCGATAACTGATTTTGGCCCGACCCGGGATTCGAATCGAGGCCTTCATGATCAGCAACCGCGACCATTAGACCAACGAGACAATGGGTTTTTTGAGGCTTTATCATCAGGTGGGCTGCGTTCTCGTTTGTCGTGCTTAGTACTTCTTTAAAATATATGTGGTAGAGTTGCATTGCGGTGTATTATGGCTGTAGCGCGATTGGATCGGCTGTATGGTCGGCTCATTGGCACTTCAGCTCACTGATCCTTTTAGCTAGGTCAGATGGTTTAAGATTTTAGTTTAAAATCTATAACGAATCTATACAAATAAATAAAATTGAAGTGTCTGTTTGTAATGTCAAAATAACAGCTTTTTACTAAATGCATATGAAAGTATGTATGGTACTTATAACAAAAACACGATTTTTAAAATTTTTGTCTGTCTGTCTGTTTGTTCCGGCTAATATCCGAAACGGCTGGACCGATTTTGACGGGACTTTCACTGACAGATAGTTGATGTTATAAGGAGTAAGTTAGGCTACTTATATTTTTAAAAAAGAATTAGGGTTCCGCGCAACATAATTAAAACCCTAAATCACACGCGGACAAAGTCGCGGGGAAGAGCTAGTAACAAATAAAAATGCTTGTCACACCAGGGCAGTAGATTGGTGGATGTAGAGCCGTTGCATTGGTATTGTTGCTCGTGACCACCAGTTTTCGGAATTTGTTCCACGTGGATCGTTTGCAGTACAATCGCTTAATCAGCCAGTTAATTGAACCACAAGGCTGTTTTCGAACGCCGGCATTCAATATTATGCCCAAAAAAGGCTTTATACCGCTTTTTGTGAACTTTAAAGATACACTCGTTATTTAGCAGGCTAATGTTTAGATTGAAAGAAGATACCACACTTATAAAACAAAAACATCCAAACTTGTTTTACTAATTCGATACAGTTTAATTGACACGAAAAAGATACCCATTTATGCGTTCTTTGCCGTGGATACGCCAAATAAATGTAATTAAGTGATTGGTTACATTCAGTTAATTAGTCTCAGACGTCTAGATTATCGAAGAAATGTAAATGAACTTGTTAATTACTAGGATCTTACAAGTTTTCTGCAAATTCAATTGCTATTGTTAAAATGTTCTCATCTATTAATCCAAATAAAATACAATATGTGTAAACATCGACCGAGATAATTATTGTAAAACGCATTAAGAAAGAAACTGGGTAGTTAATAAATATAGGTAGTTATGATGGACTGAAATCAATTGTAAGGGTTTTTTGTGAAGAAGACTGGAAACAGCGGTCAAGAAGTTGGAGGTGTTTCACACTCGCCTGGAAAAGCTTGTAAAATATTTAGACCTGCGATCTCTCTCCAGTCGAGTCAGATTGTCGTACCATCGTGTTATGAGAGTGCATCTGTGTTTGCTCACACTCGTGCACTATAAGAATGTCCTGAGAAGATGGCTAGTCTCCGTTGAGGCTGGCCGTCGTGACCGAAATTGCCGCCGTCCTATAGAATATTATAGTATTCACCACAAATAAAACTTATTAATGTCTCACTGCTGGACACAGGCCTCTAATTTCTCAGAGGAGTTATAGAGCAAGTAGCCCATCACGCTGCTCTAGTGCGTTTTGGCGGAGTTCACCTATTCTCGAAAACATTTTACTTCTTATGGCGGAGTTTTACGTAGTACATTAGTATCACTCGAATGTGAGTATTGAAAATATATTGAAGTGATTCTATTTGATTTTAGTAATAAGGTGAGAATCGTACTATAGCGAATAGTACTTATTACACAAAGCTACCGTTAACACGTTTCTACTAATGTACTCGCCTAAATCACTATTCTACAGACTAAGATAATATAAACCGGCTTCAGACATACAGGTTTTCTCACGTGTTTATCCTTCACCACTGGATAGGGTTTTCACAATAAAATTAACGAAAATGAAATTTTGGGTGATGGCGAGCACGTCGAGCATTTTATACACTGAGTTACCGATTTACGATTAAATTAGGATTATTATTGAGTAGAACTATTTTTACGGGTTTTATAGCGTTTAATTTTATTTATTTTACTTCGTGATGATGGCAACAGGAACAGATTTTTTAAAATACAATATAGATTATAAATAATACTTATTCAATATCACTCATTTGTTTAATTTACCACTGGTTCGGGATAAAAACATCTGTCCTGGAAAGAACCAGCAAGAAACCCGGCGGGATTTTTAATAAAATAACTTACAATCATAATGATATATATCATTGTGATATATATATAATTTTTTTGTCGATTCATATCAATTTAGTCACGGGGGATTGATTGATATTATGAAAAGAAGCCGGCCAAGTGCAGGTCGCTCTCGAACATGAAGGGTTTAATTTTTTAGCCATTAATTTTTAATTTATTTTTATATTTATTATTATATATTTATTGTTATAGCGGCAACAGAAATACATATTCTGTGAAAATTTCAATAGTATACCTATTACGGATCGTGAGATACAGCCCGCTGACAGACAGACAGACGGACGGACGGACGGACAGCGGAGGCTTAGTAATAGGGTCGCGTTGGTTACCCTTTGGGTACGGAACCCTAAAAAGAGGAGACACAACAAAACAAAGTCATTCAGTTTTGAAACAGTCTTAAAGCACTTTGTAATATGCAAAGAATTTGATTCATCGTCATATTTGCACTCCTTCATGAAACCACCGTCACCCACATACTGCCTCTAAGCAGTGCTCAATGCCAATTGCATTCATCCTGGATAAGTTACCAAATCTGTACTCTATGTAGTTTAGGTCTTATGCCGTACTTGCCTGTAGTCATTTTTAGACTAAAGGCTAGTTGTATGCGTCTACAGGTAAACGCTTTCATCATCAGCCCGTAACAGTTTACGGTTGGATATAAGCTTTGGTCTAGGAAGTATTAATCACGTTTTGTAGGCTGATTGACGATTGCAGAACCAGACGTTTCTTACCTTGGACGCTGTTGTCCGTTGCATGTCTAGATATATTACATCTGGCATAAATTTTACGTGGTAGCGCCATGCTGCAATTATATTACTGGTATAGTTGTAGCAGGAATGGGTCGGCTCGAACGGAGAAGGACCACACTCTCACAGAATACCAGCGTAAAATATCAGCTTAACGCTGCTGTGTGTCGTTTGGTGAGTGTAGAGAACCGGATACCCTTTTTACCGGAATCGAAGTATTTTATCTTAGACCTCAAGAGTGACAATGCATCTGCATTTTGATTCTTAAATGAGGATAGATGTAGATGTTTATGAGCCATAGCAACCACTTATCATCCGGTAGACTGTCTGCTAGTTTGTCACCCATATCCTATTAAAAAAACCAGATGGTATACCGCCATCTGTCGGAAGACATTACATTTTTCTGGCGTTTCCCGTATTCAACTCTTATGAAACCCCTGCGATGAAATGGGATGATGGTTCGTTTTAGATCACCACCACTCGGCTTAATGGCGCACTCCACGACTTAATGGTCATTTGTACATATTTATTCTCCAGAGTCCAGAGGTTACTTATATTTGAAAAGATTTGATATATATGCAGAAAGATTTGATTTCTAGAACTATCTAATGTAAGTTTTTAATAATTCAAATATTATGTTTTATAAAATATACTCACATAGTAGTTAACTTTTATGTACGAAAGTTTTCCCATATAGAAAGAATCTTATGATGTTCTCTATTTTTGAGAGCGTAGTTACATCACATAGCATGGAAGATTGCATGAGCACGAACTGGATTTGGGATCTAGATTTCCTTGTCCGAAAGCGTTTAGAATGATTAGTCGGTAGGGACGTAATGTTGATACGCTACCAGCTGATCCATTGCAGTCCGTTGTTGTAGCGCGCTGGGAGCGCATGCGCATTGCGCTTGAGCGCACCTACTCCCGTGACGATACTCGATTTTCGAAATATATATTTAAATTTAATTAATTATAATGATATATTAAAATGATTTAAAAACAAAAGATGCGTGCCTCACGTAAATTTATTCGCGTGACAAAATTTTTACTGGCCGGCGTCACTGTTTTCTGTGTGAGCTGGATCGCCAGCGTAAATGAGTGGCACTCAAGGGTGCGTTGGGTAGAAAGACGTGCGGGCAACGCGGGACGTGGTGTTGAGGGGTTATCTACGATGAGGACTATTGTAGCATATTCTGAGGGAAAACAAGCGGAGATGGAGCGTCCGTCACCTGTGACATGCGACCGTCTGCCGGCTTTTCCGAAAATACCTTATTTTGTAAGTTTTTCTTTTAAAGCTGTATTAATAGTTCAAAGAAATATTGTCAATAATGACAACAAATATGATAATAGCTATTATAATTTGGTACAGTTAAATTAAAATTGGTAACTTGTAAATAGCATTAAAATGTTCCTGTTTATTATGTCTATCGTCTATCGTCGCATATCATCTAAATAAATTATTAAACAAAACCTGAGGCTAATTCACGACAACATCGAATCGAAAGGCGTATTCGAGCTTTTTTATGTAAATTACTGTAATCCGTATTCTAGCCTTTAGCTAGTACCTCTTCGATAAAAGCAATCAAATATAGTATATACAAAACGTGATGTGTTTATCTGTGTGAATATAAAGTAGATCCTAAGTCAAATCAGGATAGAGACTGGCAGGAATAGATCTTTTTTAACATCGTTTTCATCTAAGAGCCATGACAGCACAGAGATTAGGGATCTTAATTAAAATTTCGTAATACACGAATATCTATGAAAAGACCTGATATGTGCTCGACAGTGGAGAAACATATCGGTGGGATATATCATGTCAATTAAATTTTAAAAATGTCATAAGTTGAAGTGGTAATAGGCCGGCTATATAGTTCGAAGAAACTACAACCGATGTTAACTAAAGGTTCTCGAGTGGCAGCCGCGTATTAAAAATAGCAGTATTGGGCAAGCCTCCACTATATGAAATGACGACCTAATGAAATCCTCAGGTAGTGGATCCTCAGGAAAGTACTTTGTGACAATCAATGAGAAATGCTGTAATAATTTAGATACAAATTAAATAATTATATTAAGATGACATGTTATTTCGCCAATACGTGTTGTGGCACAAGCGGCGGATTATCACCAGTCCAAACTTTAAAACCCTCTGAGGAATCAGAGGAGGCCTGTGCATAGAAGTGGAACGATAGAGGCTTTTATTACGAGTGTTATTACCGTGTAGTGGTGGTGTAATATAATTCACTACCCCTTGGGTGTAGTAAGAGGCGATAGAGGGAAATGAAACCTGATAACAATTAAAAAATTTAAAAAAACTGCGGCTTCTAACCCACTTGCCTAGCGAGGCGAAAATTTTTGAAAAAAATGCCTGTCTTCATCTGGTTTGGATTTATAATCTGTATACATTATGTTGGTGAACGCAAACCCGAAGGAAAAAGCTTTTTACCCACGGTTCATGGTGTCCCGTTTTACTTACACACTTTTTTGCAAACATTTGTTTCTTGTAAACAATTCGAGTATAACAAGATATACTTGAGAAGGCATATCGTAAGGAAAATACGATCTATTGTTACTGCTACTTGGTATGCAGTGATACTTCCTGTTTCTAGATAGTCGTAGATAGTTATTTTTAGATAACACTTCTTGTTATGTGAAGTGTGAGTGTATTCAAAGTTGGAAATTGTGAATGGATAGATGGAATATGACAGGATATTGTGTGCACACTTGAAATTTCTAGACGATGATGTATATGAATATATAACATTTGTTTTTATAACACTAGATTATTAACGTATGATAGGCTGTAGGTTTAACCATCCGCCTGTCTGTTGTAACAAATTAGTATACAATAATATTATCATGTTGTGGCATGACCATAAGAACATTTGCAAGACATAAAACTAATCATTGAATTGTTTTACAAATACTGCTGTGAATATTTAAAATAAAAGATAAAAAAATAAGATTTTTGCAATTTGAAATGTTAACAAGTTTTTAATACAATGTAGGGGGAGTTTGGGCACGTTGATACGATTTAATTTGGGAGTCAAGAAAATGTAGAATATTTAATGTATAATATAATGTAAAATGTATATACTTATAAATTAGTTTTTAATAATTTAAGCATACATTGTCTTAATCTAGTTTTTATTTATTATATATATTCTTTCTTAATTTATTTATATAAACCGAATCCAGAGACTTCACAAAAAGAGCTAAGTATTTCAGAAATATATCTTATTTCTGTCTAATCTTAACATTGTCTTAATTAGCCTTCATATTTTTTCAATCACTCTCATAATCTTTAAAGTAATATTATAAGCATTATATTATTTATTGTTAAACACCTACCTACATTGAAATTGTAATAGGAGATAAGTTTATTTTAATCTATACAAATAAATAAAATTGAAATGTCTGTTTGTAATGTCAAAATTACGGCTTTTTACTAAATGCATATGAAAGTATATACGATACTTATAACAAAAACACAATTATTAAATGTTTTGTCTGTCTGTCTGTCTGTTTGTTCCGGCTAATCTCTGAAACGGCTTGACCGATTTTGACGGGACTTTCACTGACAAATAGTTGATGTTATGTAACTTAGGTTACTTTTATTTTAGAAAAATAATTAGGGTTCCGCGCAAAAATACTAAAACCCCAAATAACACACGGGCGAAGTCGCGAGGAACAGCTAGTATTCTATAAAGAAGCTATTCTGTTCTGGTCTGGTCTGGTCTGGTAGACCAGCCAGTATGTTCGTTTCTCACCTTTACTTTTTGAAGAAAAAAACCTATAAATAAATAACTTTTCATTTATTGCTTAAAATTCCTTATAAAGGTAAATATTGTAAAACATAGCGTGGTGGTGGTGTAAAAGAAACGACTAATCTATTACGTCCCGTGGGTTTCGTAATAGGCGACTATGAGAAATGCCAGAAAGATCTTATAACTTCAGATATGTGGCGGTATTACCATCTCTTTATGCCGGGTGAAAAATAACCAGACAGGCGTCCGGGAGCAAGGTCGTCAAAGGTGCGAGAAGTCTCGTATTGAGAATCCGGCTGCCATAATAACTGTGACTATTAAGGAAAATTCTCTTTAAAGCATTCACATTTATAATAATCTAAGCAATATAATTTTTTTTTGAAAAACTTTACCTTGACACAAGGAATTTGCCCTATATCGTGGGGGTCAGGCGCTGCGCAAACATGGACAGGGACATGTTACCGACACAGCACTCGGACACAGTCGCTGGTTGCTACATCTGGTCACTGGTAACAATTCGTTGCTAGTTTTCTGTCAGTTTCACGATGGATGTTGATGAAGAAACAATACTTTTGCTTGTTGGGTCAATATTTACAGGCCAATCAAGCATGTTAATGTCAGCACCGCACAATTGTAAGGAAATTTGTTAATGTTGCTTGTGTCTTCAACTAGTGACTTTTAGTTTCCAGTTATTTTTTTACCGAACCGAACCGAACATTTTTTTAATGGCGGTCGGTATATGTCAAGTGCACACAAAAGGTGTCAGGGTCTGCGCAGAGAGTAGCCGATTTTATATATATTATATGAAAATAAAATATTCACCGGTAGCTCGTATGCTATACAAGACACGAAAGTGTTACGTTTGCGCAGGACCTTAAGCATGTTGTGTGTATTTTATATACATAAATTTCACGAAATAAACATCCCTACCCGGAACAATTATTAGTTTGCCACATAAATACTTGTCACACTATGCATTCTTAGTACTAATTAATCAGTAAATTGGAAAAGGCGACCGGCAAATGTCGATATATCGATAGAGAATTATCAAACTAAAATTGCCCAGCTAGATCTTAACTTTCGTAAGATTACGAGTGATTAGCTTTGCCAGTGCGAGGGTATCTATCACTTTAGTGTCTGCGCAGCGTAGTCGTAGGTTCTTGAAAACTCTTATTTCCAAGACGGACCTATAAATACTGACAAAGAGAGAAATATAATTTAAATAAATTCCTTTCAATAAGTATTATGTAATAATCTATATTAAATAAAAGATATTCCATTCCAGTCTATTATCATCATTATAGCCCATTCGTGTCCATTAAAAGCCATGAATACAGGCTTTCCTCAAAAAATCTATCGTTTTGTGGTGGTGCGTGTTCGGAATGTGGTCCTTCTGCGGTCAAGTAAACCCACTTGGCTACAGCCATAATACACAACATCGCGGCTCTATTTTTTGGTAGTATTATCTTCTATACGGCCAGCAGTGAAATAAAATGTTGTATACCATACAAAAAATCGTGATATACTTACGTCATTTTGATATTTATTCAACACGTTAATAATTATAAAGGTGAAGCGAAGTACGCAGATACTAAATCGATTATAGCAGTCCATAATTCAGATACATTAACATGAGAAAAAATGATTTAGGTGAACATTAACCTTGTGTAGATAAATTGACAGTTTGAACCTCAATATTACAAAGTTAAGATCAGTCCGTGATTTGATTATATATGATTATTACAATAGAATAGAATTATAGATCTCTAAGTGTTGCATTTGACTTGTGTGATGTAGAAGAACGTATTTTTCCTTTTTGTGTTATTACAGTTTATTATAGCCTTTATACTGCACGGTTTTACCTAGTATAATGCTTAGAATAAAAAAGAAATAAGTTTGTGAAAGGAAAATAAACATCTTCATTCCTTCTTGTACAAAAAAAATGTGGCCTTGTATTCCTTTAATAGTAAATAGATATTTTTTTCTCGAAATATAATTGTCAGAACTCGTTACTCATCACACAAAACACAGAAGTGTAATGCAGTTTTACACTATTACCCAGATCCTGTTAGGGACTACACATAATGTTAGCTTAGCAGGAAGTTTATTCTATCACGTAAAAAGGCTACACTGGAGTGTAAGGCTCATTATTCTGCCCAGTATAATCAGTCTAGGATTGTTACATTCTTTTACAATTTTTCTAAGTGTTCACATTACTATAGTTTGTGACGCATATTATTTATAATCCATAGGCGTGGCTACACATTTGTGATCCTCTTTTTCGCAATTGGTTGCAAGATATCTGTGGATTGCATTATCCATATAACATCAGATGAACAAGTTAACTAATTTATCATTCTAATATTTAAAAAAAAATAATATTAAACTTGCAGTTTTATTAAAATATTTTTTTTTAAGTCTGACTTCATTCGGTTCATTTCTTCATGTTAACGACATTATCTAAACGTAAATGAATGTTTTAAGTAGAATTTGATTCTTATGTTTTTGT